GCGGCTAATATCCAAAATATATAAAGCATCGATCAGAGTCATCAAACCTCAGAGGGAAGGTAGGGGAGAGTGGGAGGAAGAGGAAGAGATCAACCAAAGGACTTGCATGCACGCATATAAGCAAATCCAATGGACACAGACAGCAGGGGGGTGAGGGCATGAGTGTGGGGGTGAGGAATCAATGGGGGCAATAAGGACACATATGTAATACCTTAATCAATAAAGAAAAAATTTTTCAAACAAACAAAAAACCTTGGAATTATTTATGATTCCTTTTTTGCACTCACATATCACATCTAACCCATCAGGAAATTTTATTGGCACTGCTTTCAATATTCAGAATCTATTCCTTTCTCACCCCCTCCACTACTACCACCCTGTCATAACCATCATCTCTTACCTAGATTATTTCACTATCCTAACTGATCTCCATTGCTTCTATCCTTGTTTTCTACTGTCTGTTCTCAACACACCAGCCAGGTTGTTGTTGTTGTTAATCCTCACCAGAGTATTTTTCCCATTGAGAAGGAAAGACACAGAGAGAGAAACATCAATGTGAGACACATTAATTAGTTGCCTCCTGCACACACCCCAACCAGGGCCAGGGATCAAGCCTGCAACCAAGGTACATGCCCTTGACTGAATCAAATCTGGGGCCCTTCAGTCTGAGGGCTGGAGGGGGAGCGCAGGGGGCGTGCACTATGCTCAATCCACTGAGCTAAACAGGCTAGGGCACACCACCCAGTTTTTAAAGCATAAATCAGATTGTATTACTCCTCTGCTCAAAATTTTAGATGGCTCCCTATATCTTATAGTAAAAACCGAAGTCCTAACAAGGGCCTACAAGGCCTTTTACAACTTGTCTTACCCAATTCATCTTCCAACTCCTACTCCCCTAATATACACCATTCTGACCACTGGCCTTCTCTGGACAAGGCAGGCCTTGGGACCTTTGTACTGGCTTTACCTTCTACCTAAACCAGTGGTCTCAACCTTCCTAATGCCGCGACCCTTTAATACAGTTCCTCATGTTGTGGTGACCCCCAACCATAAAATTATTTTCGTTGCTACTTCATAACTGTAATTTTGCTACTGTTATAAATCGTAACGAATATCTGATATGCAGGATGTATTAGGCGACCCACAGGTTGAGAACCGTTGAAACCATTCTTCCCCAAGATATCCACATGACATTTTACTCAAATGTTACCCCCTCGGTGCAGTATTTTTTTTACTGTCTTATTTTAAAATACATCTATTCCTGACAACACTCCCACATTCCCCATGTCTCCCTTCCCAATTTATTTCTCTCCATAGCTCTTAATACCACAAAATATATAATTTACTTTTTTTATATTCATGTGTATTAACTAACTCCCCCAACCAAAATACCAGTTTTACGAGGACAGCGATTTCTGTCTGCTTTGGTCACTGATAAATTACAAGCACCCAGAATAGTGCATGTATATAAGGGGCTCTCAAAAAAGATGTTGAATAAATGAATCATGTACTCAAAGGATGCTCTCAGGGGACAAAATAGAACACAAAGCTCTGAAGTCAATAAAGGTTTCAAAGAAGAGAAAGCATTAAAATTGGATGAGCAGAAATTCTGCACAGAAGACAGTAGAGTGACAGACTGTCAATGTGCAAGACATGTCTGTGACGTGTAGTTCACATGTACTAAAGAGGAACTCCAACAAGCTCAAAGGAGGATTGTTAAAGGCTAGTCAGCTTATTAAAAACCATGTTATTTGACAAAAGGAGAAAAAAGAATGAGACCTATGACACAGTCTTATATAAACTTAAAAGATATATAGGGTTAGGCAAAAGTAAGTACAGTTATGAGTATGCAAAACAGTTTATTCTTGTATTATTTATTAATTATTCTATTATTTTCCATATGAACAACTATAAACTGACTTTTGTTCATCCCGTATTCAGACCAAACAGTACTGTACATTTCTCAAGTATACAAAATAATAAAAACAGGATAAAAGTAATTTTTGAAGCCAAAGTACTAAAGAACCATAATGGGAACAATCCTTTTTATTCCCCACTCCCCTTCTCCCCATCTCTGGATTTATAACCTTTATGATCAAGTCAAAAGATCTTATTTCCTTCCTTCCTTCTTTTTTTCCCCACTCAGTCTTTTGTTCTCAGAAAACTAAGGGTCAACTTCCCATACAATCTGTCTGCACAGGATATCCACTGAAACGTCATCCTACCAGTAGCACAAAACAAAGGGAAAATTTTCCAAAGACAACACAACATCCTAACATTTTCCTGAGGCCAAGAATGAGCATATATTAAATCATAAAGACTTAAAGAACTAAATGAGGAGAACAAGCTAAAAAATAAAAGCAAAAAAAGACCAAAAAAATCCCACAGGAAAAGCAAGTAGTAAATGTTACAGTGCCATCCAGGGCGTCTAGTCTATACCACTTTACTCAACAGTTTAAAACAGAAAAACATATACATGATTCAGATGTCCTGCACCCACCCAAATTCAAGTGTGTAGTCTGGAAATGTTTTATTTTTGAACAATGTGGAGTGACTACTATACATTAGGTACCTTAGATAAGAAGATAGATCTTTTATTAATCATTGTTATAGAGAAGATCACACTTAGATGAGGCAACAGAAGACTAATTTTCATATATAGAATACAAGACACAGGTAGCAGAAATACATTTTGAGTATTAAGAGAAGGTAGTTTTATTACCTTTTTCTACTGATACACTTGCAGGATACAATAAAAATAAGGCTAAACACAAAATAGCAGCTTATACAAAGTAAATTATCAGGATTAAACAAGTTAAAATCCAGATTAAACTGAAATTCAGAGATAAATTTAATATTAAATTGTATTAAAAACACTTTTCACCAATTAGTCATTCGGTAGCTTTTATCAATTTAATTAGAAATCTGTCAGGTAGAAATTAGAAAAATTAACATACAAATTTTCAGCTTAGGTATTTCCAAGTATTTTATAAACACTTGTATTGCCAGAATTCTACTTTACCAAACTCCATATTCTCCTAAAAGCTAATAGTTTATAATACCTCTTTAAAAACTATTTAAAGTGGTTGGATAAATTATTCAACAATTCTCAAAATATAGTTTAAGTTCTTCACATCAAGCCACATGTATCTTAAGACCACAAAATACTACATATTACTCATTTATTCTTCTTTTCAGTAAGTACTTATTGAGGTCCTACTGTAAAATACCAGAGTGCACACACAAACACACACACACACACAAGCGCACACGCGTGAAATATCACTGGCTAAGAAAAAAGACAGTAATAGATACGATTCATTTTTTGAGATCTCCATTCACACTTGATTACTGTGATTACCCTCCCCCAAACTATCCCCTCTCTGAATCATACCTGATAAGGTAGGTAGAGCAGTTTCTGAGGCCTCACTGCACAGGCAGCAAAGCAACGTGTCCTGATCTCTTCCATAACTATCAGGTGGAAGCAGAACTGTCCCCAGGACCATTTCTCTGCCCAGAAAGCACGAAAGTTAAACTGTTCTATGTCATGAGGAAGTCTTAGAATTCCATTCTGACAAATAATAGCACATGCATGTGACACTGAGTCATACACCCAGTGGCCAGAGGGAACCAATAGAAGTGTAAGAATTTACAAATGCCAAAGTAGATTGGGAGTAACCTAAAGGAAAATATTTAGCAATTAGCAAAATAATGAGTCAGAATAGTTACTTCAAAACCGCAGGAACTCTTTTGGGAAAAAACAAAACAAAACACAACAAAAACCAAACAAGTAAAAACCCACACATATGGGTAGCAAATAATAAAATATATAGGGACTGATATATACAGACGGGATTTCATTCATAATGGATGATGAACACAAGTTTTCCTTGGAGAAAATCTGTTTACAATAAAACACCAACTACACTTTTTAAAAAAAGCAAACGCCTAAGGAGACTCATCTTTTGCATCACTTAAATTAGTTCAAGAAACCACAAATCCAAAGCCAAAGAAATAGTTACAATCTGATTCATAAGCACAGAAGCCCGGAAATGACTGCTTTCACTAACATTTTGACTCTATCCTATATAATAAAACCCTAATATACAAATCTACCAAAAGGCGGAATGACCTGTTGCTATGATGCACACTGACCACCAGGGGGAAGACACTCAATGCAGGAGCTGCCAGCTGGTGATCAGTGCACTCCCACAGGGGGAGCTCTGCTCAGCCAGAAGCCGGGCTCATGGCTGGCGAGCGCAATGGTGGTGGTGGGAGCCTCTCCTGCCTCCGCTGCAGGCAGGCGTTAAGGAGCAAGGGGGTCCCAGACTGTGAGAGCCCCGGACTGTGAGAGGGATGTTTGACTGCCAGCTTAGGCCCGAAGCTAGCAGGCAGACATCCCCTGAGGGGTTCGGGACTGCGAGAGGGTGCAAACCGGGCTGAGGGACCCCACCCTCAGTGCATAAATTTCATGCACCGAGCTCTAGTAGCTTAATTAAGGTTTAAAAACATGACTTAATAGTGTTGAAAACTTTGCAGTGCTAAAGTTTTAAAAGCCAAAGCCTAATCTTTTTTAATATACAGGAACAAAGTTAAATAAAATTTAAGAATATGAAAATAAGAGTATCTTATGAGAATTTAGCAACACCTACAAATAACAAATTAATTTACTGCTATAATCTACAAAAATAATACAAGAATGTTTTTAACTATACACATAAAAACACTCATGGATTCAATATATATTTATTAAGCACCTACTATGTTTCTCTCTCTCTCCCTCTCCCTTACTCTCTGAAATCAATAAAAAAAGAAAGATAAAATAAAATAATTACAACTAAAATATAGAACCACCATCATTCAGGGCGGCCTGAAAAGCTGGCTGAATGGAAGTCCTACAACTAGAGATGTAAAGCAGAAAGCACACTGAGAATGGTAGGAGGGGCGGAGGCACAAAACAGGCTGGTCAGACACCCACGTGTAGTGTGTGTTTTTTAATACAGAGGGATACCTCCGCAGCAGAGGCCTCCCATGAGAAGGAAGCAAGGGGTCCCAGCCCAACACCAGACCCCTGAGCTGGGAAGAGAAGTCCCTTAACTTCAGGCTGTAAAAACCAGTGGGGATTGTGGCTGAGTGAAACAGAGGCTGCTGGAGACTCAAGCAGTCCCTCTTAAAGGGCCAGCACACAGACTTATACAGTCCCCCTCCCTCTGATCTCCAGCATTGGGCAGCATCACTGGGGAAACCAGACACATACAGGAAGGAACTGGATTGTCTGGTATCGGGGCAGGAACTCAAGGTGGCTTTCTCCCAAATGGAGATGCTTGCAGGGGCCATTGTTTCTGTACTGGAACCTCACCCCCTTGCAGAGCTAACTGGCAGGCATTTCTGAGTTTCCATCAGCATGGCTCACACTTTTTGCTCCACCCTGGTGATTCCCTGAAACCCCGCCCCATCCAACTTGCAGCCTCACCAAGCTTTTGCAATGCCTTTTCCATATGAATAGCCTGTCCTGGCTCAGGCTTCAGACTTTCCTAAAATCACTTAAACAAGAAGCAGTTGGCATCAGTGTACCCCATACCTATCAATATGAGACCAAAGACCCAGCACTAGCACCAGTCTGTCTTACTTCACAACTTGGCCTCACCTGGGCATTTCCAAGCCCAATTCAAATAATAGCCATCTGCAGATAGCTGGGTAACTCCTGCCAGGTGGTCCCAGGCAGTGGCTGACTTTGCAGCTCCCCGGAGGCCCCAGAGCCAGTGCATCTGGTGGATAGCTTCAGACCATACCAGATTATAACACTACACGTCCACAAGTGACACACTCAAGAGGCAGGGCCCAGGACAAGCATTGAAGTACTCCCACATTTATAGATTAAACAGAAAGAAGAGGCAGCAGCAAAGGAGACAAATAAAAGAGCCAGGAAGGAAGAAAAACTACCCAAGGTTGAGAAGGGTGACTGAGGAAGGAAGGAATGATCACTATAGTTATCTGCTATTAAGGTGTTAATAAATGAATACAAAAAAATATTCACTGCTTTTATAAGCTATATTATGAAAATTTCTCCATAGTCTTATAAATCTTCAAAAGCTTTCTTTTTAATGGTTCTATATATTCCATCTTTCAGAGGTATCATCATTTTTAATTTGATCCTATCACCAAATAACACATCTACATTATATGTCCCAATTTTTCTCTATTTAACATTACCTCATTAGTGCAAATTTTCAAATCAAAGACATTTTTAAGACTCATGATACATATTTCCAAATAACTTTCTTTTTTTTTCTTTTTTTAAATATATTTTATTGATTTTTCACAGAGAGGAAGGGAGAGGAAGAGAGAGTTGGAAACATCGATCAGCTGCCTCCTGCACACCCCCTACTGCGGAGGTGCCCACAACCAAGGTACATGCCCTTAGCCGGAATCGAACCTGGGACCTTTCAGTCTGTAGGCCGACGCTCCATCCACTGAGCCAAACCAGTTAGGGCTCCAAATCACTTTCCAAGAAATTTTATCTCATTATACTCATCAACTCTGCAAGAATACTCATTTCACAATGGTGCTTATATATTTAATTTTAAAGACAAACAGCAGTAACTTGTTTAAATTTGCAACTCACTGCTAGTACAATAGAACACTTACCATTTATTTTGCTAACTATATTTCAATTTCTTTCTAGTAAGGTAAAACACTTTCCCATTTCTTTTGTTGTTTATATTTCCCATTTTGCAAGCTGTCAGAAACATGGGCAGTAAATAAAAATCAACAAATGGGAAATTACAAAATACAACTTCGTGTTTATCCTATCACTAGATATAATCAAGAAAAAAATTTGATTCTTCCTATTGTAGACCCTAAATTTTAAATACCTCACAAATGGAGCTGTCACTTTTATAACAGGTAAACTAACCCACAACAGACCACCTATCCCTTTTTCATATCAGCATTAAAGAGAGCACTGGAGAGAGCTGGGCACAAAGTACTTCAGGATCTAATGAGAGATCTTAAAATATATTCAGCTCCATTATTACTGAGATGAAGAAACAAAGCTAGTGTCAGAACCAGATGATCTCTAAGATGGCAGCTGCCATGTCCCTGCCTGTTACTAACCCTTGCTCCTCACCCTCCCAACATAGCAGCTGGCTAGAATCCTAAGAAGAAAGGAGAGAATAATTATGATGCTTTACTCTCGGCATACACCACTTTATCTTTCCTTTTGTGAAATCAAGGCTTTCGGAACAAATACTGGCCCCTCATTACAAAAAGATCCCTAAAGCTAATAAGCTTTTTTAAATCCAAGAGAAACACTGGTGTAGAGAAATAGAAGAGATGTCATTATAGCTTTTTAATTTCTTTAAGTATTTTTTTTTTATTAATTTCAAAGAGGAAGAGAGAGAAACATCAATGATGAGAATCATTTATCGGGTGTCTCTTTCATGCCCCCTACTGGGGATCGAGCCTGCAACCTGGGCATGTGCCCTGACTGGGAATCAAACCGTGACCTCCTGGTTCATAGGTCGACACTCAACCACTGAGCCAGGCTGGCCAGGCCAGTATTTTTGTTTGTGACAGGAAGTCTCAGAGTCACTGAATTTTTTAAATTAGCAATCCTTTTTACTAATCATTATTTATTAGCAAAGCACTTTACTGGGTTTTATTGGACAGAGACACATAATGATTCTGTACTTGTAGAAACTTCATCTTATTAGAGGGAAAAAAGACAAAAAAGGAAGTAATAATTATAGTAAATATACTATAGAAGGTGTCTTGCTTTAGTACAATAGCTGTTTTAGGCAAAGGAAGAGATTACTTAATCAGAAATGGTCAGAGAGGTCAGATCCAAGGAGACTCTAAGAACTTGAACTACCATTTATAATACATGAATTAAATAGTTAAAGGGAGATACCAAGCACAGCAGTGATTAAAATGCCATTTTGATTGTTGGGTGATACACTCAAATTGAGAGTGTATCCAAGCTAAAAAGAAAGGCCATTAACTACTATTACTAACTGACCTAAAGAGAATTAATCTTGCAATATTTTAGAGCCTCTTCAGTTGTTTATTTTTAATTAGAGGCCTGGTGCATGAAATTAGTGCACAGGTAGAGTCCCTAGGCCTGGCTGGCAATTAGGGCCTATCGGGGCCTTCCAGCTGCCGGCTAGGGCCTCCCTTCCCTGACTGTCGGCTACCAGCTATGGCCTCCCTTCCCCGGCTGCCAGCCAGGGCCTTCCTTCATTCTGCACTGCCCCCTGGTGGTCAGCGCATGTCATAGCAAGCGGTTGATCTCCTGGTCGAACTCCCATGGGGACAATTTGCATATTGGGCTTTTATATAGACCTATAAGGTACCTCTATACCTTTTATAGAGGTATAGATTCTGTATCTCTGAGTTATTTTAGCCATACAAATTTTCAACTTGAGCCCAATAAATTTCTCCCTACCTTTTAATGGATTTAGCACCCCTTTTAGATTATACAGAAAGAACTAAAGTTCTCAGTTATAATGTCAAGGTCTTCACTAAGCACTCTGCATGC